ACACATGCTTTGTGGTGCCGACTCTACGACATCATTGGTCCGGGATAAGATAACTAATCGGCACAAGAGGTTTCCCAAGAAGAAGATGAAGGTGGAGGCTCAAGTGTGGCTTAAACTGATAAATACATAACTCCTACCGTGCAATCATGACACGCTCATTAGCCGTGAGAGGACCTGTATACTCTACTTCCTCATGACGGGTCAAAGGGTAAATGTGGGTCATCTGATCCGCTACCAGATGTTTGTAGTCAGAACGAGTAAAAAGGTCGATCGAATGCCATTTGCCAATTTTCTAACTCAGTACTTAAGACACGAGGAGGTTGTGGAGGAGCCAGAGTTTGACCACACCATCGATCATCCCCTACGACAAACGGACATCACTAGTCTCCGGTTGCAAGAAGAGATTGTCATGACATCTTTGACAAATACCAAGCGCAACGCTCGAGATGATAGTTTTATGGCCCATCTCTATGGGATGATGGATTTGCAGCTAAGGATAGGAGGTCGCCCGGCCACATCTGAGGAGAGGACTGAATTGGAGCATCGGTACCCGCTCAATGCTCATGCCCAGTAGCTGGTTGGTTTAGGAGATGGATACAGACTCCCCAGTGATGAGGATATCAACACACCGGAGCAATCTGAGGCTGAGCCAGAGCAGTCAGATGGTGAGGGGGATGATGATGAAGAGGAGGAGGACGAGCATGATGACGAGTGGAGAGCGTTAGAGGATGAAGACGTTGCTTGATCAGGGAGTTTCTTTACACCCTACTCATTTCTCGTATTTTGTCATTTTGTGCATGCACTGAGGACAATGCATGATCTAAGTGTGGGGTGGGGACTTGTACATGTTAATTTTAGTTATTTAGTGCTAGTTTTAGTATGTGTTTTAGTATTAGTTTAGTAATTGATTTGGCTATGTGTTTTAGTTATTTAGTGTTAGTTAAAAAAATAAAATAAAAATTGGACTCTTCCCGACGATGGATCTCCTAGACAGTTTTCTTGAGGGAAGTAAGTCTAAAGAAAATACCAAAAAGTTTTTTTTTTGTAGGTAGTGTAGTAATTCACCCTTGGTTTTTCTTTGGGCCGTGGTTCTTTTCCAGGGACTTTTAGTTGAACCGTGTGTAGTTAGTTTTAATTTTTAGGAGTAGGAATCACGAAGCTATGCATTTAATTGTAGCAATATCTCTTAGCTTGGTTATGCCTTGAGAATAGTTAGTACTATGGTCGTGACGCTTAGGCTCGGTTTTTTACTCTAACATAAATACCTTAAATCGTAGATTCCTAATTTTGCTTAACTGCTTTGATTGGAGTGTCGCGATGAAACCAATCCTGAGTGAGTTATGTGCCATGTGTGTATGAGTTTTGTATGTATTCTGTGCATTGCATTTGATGTCTAGCACTTGCCCTGTGTGTGTGCAAAGCGAAATAGTAGTCTTGTTCAGTCTAAAAAGTGATATATAATTTACCCACCTAAAAGTTATGTAATGTAGTTAACCCCTTTGAGCCTGTAATCCTGTTTCTTTGACAACCACACTACAAGCCTTACCCAATTATTTGAATTAACCATTTATTTGAACCTTTTCACCTCTAATGAGCACTTGAATTGTTATGAACTTTATAAAAGTTAAAGTATGGGGTGGTTGGTTTGGTTTTTGAGTGGAACTAATGAAATAAGGAGAAAGATGCACTGTTTTAAAAAAGTAAGAGTCGCTTGAATTGAAAAAAAATAAAAAATAGTTGTATTGCTGTGAAAAAGAATATTCTTTGATAAGTGGTGACTCTTAATGTAATTATGCTTAAAGAAGTATGGGGTAATATATATTAATGTGAAGGTGGAGTTTTGGTTTGGCATAAGTATGGGATGTGCATTAAAGTATATGTATCAAAGTACTTAAGGGAGGTGTAGTCACTCATATCTAAATGTATCCTACCCGACCCACAGCCTACATTACAACCAATAAAAGTCCTACTTGATCTTAGATTGAATGAACTCGATTAGTAGAGTATTACACTACGGGCAAGCCTATGGTGCATCATTTGTGGCATATGAATGTTAATTCTGAGAGCGAGTGAATTTTATCTATCTGGAGTTCCTATGTTCTTAAAATTCATTGTGTGTGGAACTAAGCTCTTTGATTGGGTGATGGCACATGATTCATAAAGGAAAGGTAATGTTGTTAACTTCCATGTAGAGTAAGTAAGTGAATTGTGAATAAGGCGTGGTATTTGTGAGTCGAATCTTGAGGCGAGCATGTCACACCTTTATGCTTAAACTATTTTAAAAGATTCTTGGTATAATGATTTAAGGGAATTGCTTAATAGGTTGTGCCTATGAGTGTAGTTTGATTGCTCGAGGACGAGCAGTGTTTAAGTGTGGGGTATTGATGCGTGGCTATAATTCATGGTTTAGCACATTATTCGCCTTGCATTTTTATGCTTTAATGATAAAGTACACCTTATTTGCGTGTAATAGGGTCTATTTTATGTGTAGGTGAATTGAAGACGAAAGTAGAAGAAAAAGAAGACCTGCAAGTCGAAAGCGTGTGCGGGAGCAGTGAATGAGAGAACCTGGCGACACTAGGCTTGAAGCTGGCGTTAGGCTAGCATTGCAAGGCAAAGGCAAGCTGGCGACGCAGGGCAAAGGCCAAGCAGAACCAGGCGTTAGGCTGGCGACGCCAGGCCTGAAGCCAGGTTCATCAGGCGTTAGGCTGGCGACGCCAGGCCTGAAGCCAGGTTCATCAGGCGTTAGGCTGGCGACGCCAGGCCTGAAGCCAGGTTCATCAGGCGTTAGGCTGGCGACGCCAGGCCTGGGGCCAGGTCCAATCCGAGTTTTGAAGATTTAATTCATTTCTGGGTTTGACTAGGACTTGGCCTACACGTTTAGGTCTTTTCCTACACATATAAATAGACCTAAAAACACCACTTGGAAGGACTTTTACAACCGGAGGCAAGAATAGCTTGTGGAATCACCCATTGGGAGTTAAAATCATCGATTTCTACATCTTTTCATCTTTACTCTGTACTTTAATTATGCAAAATATTTGGGATATTGTTACTATGAGTATGAGTAGCTAAATTCCTAATATAGGGTTTTGATGGAACCTATTGAAGGATGATTTTCTTGTTACGTTAATATAAATTTGTCGTAGTATTTTCTCTATTTGTTCAACTATATTATTCATGAGGTTGATTGAAGGGCCCTCAATTAGCTGTGCCTATTTAGTATATATTACTAGGGAGAGAGTGCATATTTAGGTAGTTGTTGAATAACATCACTCCTGGACGTATATAAGGGATCAATACAGATCTTTAAAGGTGGGATTAGGGATAACGAAACCTTGGTGCGATCCGAGTGAGTTGTACTTAATGCCAACTAGCGTAATTCGGGAGAATATGTCTAGTAAATTGTGATAATTACTCGGGAGAGAGTTACGACAATTAGAGTGCTCATGGTCGATAGAGAAGACTTAGGCAAATTTGTAGAAAATATAGCGGAAAAGATTCCGACAATAGGGGAAATCACAACCTTAGATCATTCCAATTCTTGTTTACAACCCGTTCATAGTTAGTTATTAATTATTGTATTTTTATTACGTAATATTTAGTTAATAAAAACCCAAATAGTTACTTAAATATTTCTGAAGATTGATTGCGTGAATTTGTGCGAGTCTAGTAGCTGTGTTTGATAGGTTAATTCTCTGTGGGATTCGACTCCGGACTTGTAAACCGGATTATATTTGCAACGACCACTTAGTCCTTTTTAAAAGGCATAGTTGGGCGTGATTAGTGCGGTTACAACGTCTCTTTGTTTCTTAGCTCGATCTTGGTCGGTTTTGGTATTGGTCGATCTCTGAATCTCGAGCTCGATATTGGCTCGAGCTCGGTATTGACTCGAGCTCGATATTGACTTTGAGCTCGGTATTGATCGGTCCCTGAATCTTGAGCTCGATAACCTGGCTTCAGATCTCATCTCAATATTATGATGACGACTCTCGGTACATCATGTTCCAATCTCGACTAAATACAAGAAAAGCAAAACCGATTTTGACCGTATACAACAACATTATTTTATGATAAATTATATGTTAGCTTGAATACTTTGAGTTATACTCAGTATTTTGCATGTGTTCATGTTTATTGCAATATACATGGTTTCACAATTAGTAAAATGGACCGCGCAATATATAGGAGTAAATGGCATTCTGTATAAGATGAAGGACATATGTAAGCTTCATTTTGGACCGCGTGATATCGATATTATTATTTGTACAGATCTTCCTTTATTGCCATGCTACCACCTAATGTTTGTTAGAGGGATTGTGCTTACGACTTATTGGTGGTGTGAATAAACAGTAATGGTAGAAAATTCACTAATTGACCAAAGCCAAACAAAAGATTTGAAGAAAAGATTCAAATTTTTTTTTTCAAAATTGACTTGCCACTAGATTATAAAACGTGTGGTCCTGACTCCTGCAATAGGAAATGGTAATTTTTTCCATAGAAACTTCATAAAACAAAATAAAAAAGAACTATAGTCGATATTGTCAAAATTAAAGAATAAAATAAAAAGATACACCTAGAAGGATAGTGCATGTGACCTCTTACACTTTAAGGATTAGTTAGGTCATGAAACAAGTTATTCATGATATCTCGAGATTAGTTATTCTCGGATTAATTATCACATCCTTCCATGAGAATAAAAATTGCTATAATTTCGGAATAACTAATTCAAAATTAGTTATACCGTAATTTTTTCTCAATCACACATGAAATAAATTTATCTTAAATTTAATTTCGGGATTAATTATTCTTTTAACTCTAGTACCAAACAAGCCCTAATTGTTTTTAAAAACAAAATCAAATGGTAGGATCCACCGTCCACTCAATCCAGCCTTTGCTCATTTCAAGGGTCACTTTCCTTACAATGTCCAAAGATTTGTTAAATCAACAAAAAGTCAAGAAAATCAACGTAGGAAATCCTTGAGATTCTGATTGATATCTGCATTCGTATCTCTCTTTCCCTTCTGTCAAATATTTGCGTATCTTCTTGAAATTAACACCATATCATCATGTCATTCCCTTCATATAATAACCTCACAAACACCAAACCACATAAACACCAAAATTCTTTACATACTACACAATTCACAAACTTAATATCATCATATTAGAAATGGCTCAAGTTGCAACAATGGATCATCAGTTTCATGTTCTAGCTGTTGATGATAGTATTATTGATAGAAAACTCATTGAAAGGCTCCTCAAGACTTCTTCTTACCAAGGTACTTTGATTTTTCCTCCTCATTTTCCCAAACAATAAAAAATATTATGTTGACTGTTGGAACTTGGTTTCTAATTTTTCCTTTTTCGATTTGTATAGTTACTGTTGTGGATTCTGGGAGCAAGGCTCTAGAGTATCTTGGATTGTCAAGTGATGAGAATGAAGGAGTAGAAATTGACCATTCTCATGTAAGAGAAGTTGGAATCAATTTGATTATAACAGATTATAGCATGCCTGGAATGACTGGTTATGACCTCTTGAGAAAGATTAAGGTATGTATATTGTGACAAAAAATTAATAATTACCTTATTGAATTTTCATTATACAATTTTTTTTTAATTGTTGACTGATAGGAATTTTGTCAAATTTACAGGGATCATCATCTTTGAAAGACATTCCAGTAATAATTATGTCTTCAGAAAATGTTCCTTCAAGAATTAATAGATGTTTGGAAGAAGGAGCTGAAGAATTTTTCCTAAAGCCACTCCAACAATCAGATGTGAATAGAATTAAGCCCCATTTAATGAGGGAGAAAAGACAGAAAGTAACTCCAAATAGTCTCAAAAGAAAGGCCATGGTAGAATGCATATCTCCTGAGAAAACAAGAAAATACAACAATTTGTGTGGCATCTTTTGGCAGAACATTTGTGAGTAAAGAGATGTCAAATTCTTTGAGTTAATTTAAGCAACAAGGAGTTTTCTCTTTAATTGAAACAGGAAGGTTTCAAGTGGAAGAAAAATCTAAGAGAAAAAAAGGCCATGGTTCAAAAGGAAAGAGGGAAAATTTGGGCATTTCGTACCAAGAAAATGAATGTAAGACATGTCTCGGAACATATTTGTCACAACTCAAAAGAGGTTTTTGATGTCCTTAAAAGTCACCCTTGATGTCCATCCAATTTGAAACAATTGTTTTTTCCAGAAACATACTTGTAAATGTTTAAGATGATTAAAACTTCATTATGCAATTCTGGATTAGATGGCAAGGGAACTGGATTAGCTCTTTGTGTTGAGAGACATGATCCAAGTGATTTTGTAATTAAACTAGATTTACAGTGAAGCTATTGTAATTAATCAGATCTGATTTGGGTCTCTACATAATTCTTATTTCCTTTTTGCTTGAGAAATCAAAATGTGTCATTTTCTCTTTTCTTGGAAAAAGATGTAGCAATGAAATTCATTAGCTGTACAATCGAAAATAACTTCAGCTTACTAAAACAACCTGATTACCTTTTCATGTATTCAAATTATATTTTCAGTTTACCTGTTGTAGATCCAATTTTTTTTTTTTTTTTTTTTTGCAATTTCAATGACTTATTTCATTTGGTAATAGAGAAAAACTATTCCATCTCTCTTAAATTGCATGCTAGAATAACAAAAAAAAAAGTTTTAAAAATACATATGATTTTAGTTTTTGTGTAACTAATTGTAAGTCGAATGATTATTCGAGAAATTAATTCTTTGAAATCATTTTTTTCATCAAAGCTCTCCATATGAAACAACAAAATCCTCCAGCGCAGAATAACCGCATATTGGAATTGGAGTCATAAAAGTAGCAATTTGGTTACCCAAAAAATACCAACGAATTCCAAAGTCAACTAAAAAAAGAAAGAGAGGAACCTTTAACTCCAGATAAACAATGAAGCGAAGGTGAAAATATTTTATTCAGAGGGGACTAGAAAATAATCATAACCAAACAGTCAACGATAGAACAGCTTTAACCAAACAGAAGCAGAGCCCACGTAAAGACATGTTCAGTGATGCATTGCTCGAAAACAATCGCAGATAATTGTTGGAAACAAAGATTCAATAAGCATGGTCTGTCAGGGACACGATCTTTACCTTATGGGATGACAGTGGGTATGTTGTTGTGGTAAAAAAACAAGCAAACCTTCATTTTCCTGTTGATTAATTTGCTGGAGTAGTTGGTTCTAAGGTAGAAGTAAAAACAAACATCTTTTTACTTATAAGTTGGACACCATTTGAGAAAAATTACAAATTAAACGACCATAACGAAAAAGGATTACTTATTGGAAGAGCATGATCTTCTTCACTAAAATCAATTCGTTGGAGTTCAATGTTTGAATATAAACATTATATTATTCTTATCGACAATTGTTAGTTGTTACTTCAATAATCACGTAAATCAACCACCAGTAATATGTCTATCTCTAAATTGTATGGGTCAAAATCTGCCTCAATGGGATTTAGCACGTAGTGGTATTATGAAAAGTGGTGTGGCCGAGGTCGACTAGTAGATAGCGGGGCTCGTAGTCGGGCGGTCAATAACGGCCAAGGTCAAGTATCAAGGACGATACTAACGGCTAGTTTTTGTAATAAGATATTTAAGGGAATATTCCATTGAATATTCTATGTATTGGTATTTTTAGGGTTGGACGAGGATATGTCCCATATAAATAGAAGGCCAAATACTTATACGGCCCCTTAAACTTGGCTCCAGTTTCCATTTTAATACCTCAATTTAAGCCAATACCGATTAAATACTCCAACTCCAATAATAGTATGTCTATTAAACACCTCATATAATATGCTTAAGTAAGTCCAGCCGCGTGAACTGCAATGACATGGCAAACTGCACGAAGCCCAAAATACCACATGGCTTTTGAATTTAAAAAAGACCTTAGAGAAAATAAAAAACTAAAACAAAACAAAAGGAAAAAAACAAGAAAACTAAATAACTTCCATAAACCCATTATAACCCGGTCTCCGGCCATAACATTCAATACTCCATCAACATTATCTTCCAAGAAAGCTAGATATGTAACTTCTTCCTCTTGCCAGACCCACCTTAATCTTCCCTTCCCCTGACACACACAACTATCAGATTCTCCTATTAGTACAATCAATAACTATTTTTCAATCTAACCATAAACAGATAACAGAAAAATGAGGAATAAATTAAAAATTGGTAAGCAAAAATGTTATTATCTTCAATAAAGAAGTTCTGAGCCCTATTATCTTCAATAAAGAAGTTCTAAGCCAGATCTTACGGAGAAGGCCACAAGGATTATGAAAAAGAAGGGATGATAATTGTGAAAATTAAAGAAAATGGCAGTTAAATTTTTAGAACTCGCCGACATTTTCATTACCGACGAACACTGATTTGGTTGCTGATGTTATGTTCATGTAATCCCTGGGCAGTTTTTTTCTAGTATATTTATCATTTTTTTATTCGATTAAAAAAATTATAATTGATTAGTGGATAATTTAATGAGTAAGGGTGGTAGCAGTGATGGTAGGGAGAGAACACGGTGAATGAAAAGACTGAGTTGTGGCGCAGAGATGAGGAGCAGGGGGGAAGAGAAAGCTGGGTTGGTGGCGGCAAGATGAGGAAAGAGAGAGAAAGGGAAGATGTGATTTTTTTGTTGTTGGAAAAATAGGAAAAATTTAATTTGAGACCAATTTACGCGCGCGTGTGAGAGGTGAAGAACACGGGTTTTGCCACATTAGGGGTTGTGTTTAATAGACATACTATTATTGGAGTTGGAGTGTTCAATCGGTATTGACTTAAATTGAGGTATTAAAATAAAAACTGGAGCCAAGTTTAAGAGGCCGTATAAGTATTTGGCCTAAATAGAAAGAGAGATAAGAGGGAAGGGGCATGTAACATTTTTCTGATAAGAACACTTTTTGAGAAGAAGACTAGAAAAGATACAAACATTACCTTTCTAATAAGATTCTATCATCCATTATTCTATATTTTTCCATCAGATCCGAGAATAATTTCGATATTCTAAGATTTGTCTGTCACTCATCACTGTCAAAAAGAAGAATCATCCACCTCATTCAATATTGAGTGAATCATTCCCCTTATTTACGTTAATGCCATTTATTCTTATTTATTTCTTGATATTTCCATCATTAATCCCCATGAACTATTAAATGCACACTATATTTAATCCCTCACCTACATTATCCTGCGTTATTGGTGTTAACTAGTTGTAAAATCCAGGAATATTATTGTTAATTAGGTTTAATCCTTCATCACATAAAATTAATTAGTTTAACCGAAGATTTACACTCTTTGGTCAAACAATTTGATGCCGTCTGTGGGGATTTCCTAGTTAAATTTTTAATTTTCTCTAGATATATAACTAGCACAGTTTACAAAAAAAAAAATCCTTTTTCCTCGTACACACAGATCTGACATGGCAGGTAATGGAGAAGAAAGAATGAAGACAGTGGTCGATCTCACCACCAACCTCTTGAACACCATCAATGAGGTTTTTGAAACAGAAGGCAAGGACGTAACGCTTAACACCTCCCCCAGGAGAGGTGGATCGCCCCTCCCTCACGACAGTATCACAATATCCAGCGGTAAGAGAGCATCCACGTCCACGACGGGAGAAACGCCGCTGACAGTGAAAAAACTACTTGAAGCTTGGCTAACAAACACGCTAACCAGCATCCTCAACAAGCCCGCCCAAGAGGCAGCTAGAGAAAACGCAAGGACTTGCATTACATTGACAATGGTTGAGCAGCACGACCCTCTCCTTCCAGTAATAAGTATCACTTACAATGTTATTGATGCAGGTAACGACACCCTCACAGCCATTCCGAGGAAAATGGATGAAATGGAAAATGAGAACAAAATGCTTCGAGACCAAATGAGAGAGCACCAAGAAAGAGTCGACAAAATATCGGGTGCCCCAAAACTCTTGCCGAAAAGAGACGTCAGTCGGTTCGTGGAGCAACCCTACAGTGATGAAGTCGCCCCGCATGCCATACCCAAGACCTTCAAGATGCCGCCTTACCTGAAAATATATGATGGTACGACCGACCCCGAAGATCATGTGACTCACTATGTCACTGCTGTAAAAGGCAATGACCTCGCCAAAGAACAAGTATCATCCATCTTGTTGAAGAAGTTTGGCGGGACCCTTACTGTAGGAGCACTAACTTGGTATTCACAATTACCCACGCGCTCCATCGAAACATTCAAAGAGATGGCCGACAAGTTCGTCACGCCCCATGCTGGGGCCAAAAAAGGCGGAGGCGAGAGTGAACGATATATTTGCCATCAAGCAATCACCCAGAGCGGGACGGAGGGACTTCATCGCTCGATTCAACCGGGTGAGGATGACCTTACCAAATGTATTGAAATGAATGGTTGTTGAAGCTTTCCAAAACGGGCTGAACAGGAATGGTTCAAGGGCGACCATGAAATTATGAAGTCGGCTTTTGAAATATCCTCCAACCACTTGGGATGAAATACACAACGCCTACTGTGCCGAGGTCCGTGCAGACGAAGAAGACCTGAATGGACCAACTAATTGGTTGACCTTGCTACAGGACGAATCCAAGAAGGATCGAAGAAATGATGCTATAAGGGATCTTGCAGCTCCACGACCCAACCGAGAAAGACATCAGCCATATATCAGAAGCGCCATCATGCCACCCTCCCGCCACGATGAGGGACCATCTAGAAAAAGGACAGGGACTCACCGGAACGGCAGAGGCATGTCCCCTTTATTATACACTCACAATTTTTGTGTCTCACCCTCAGAAATAGTCTACGCGTTGGAGAAGCTCAGACCAAAAGTAAAATGGCTACAAAAGATGAGGTCAGACTCGAGCACCAGAAAGTCAAATGCCCTTTACGAGTTCCACCAAGAGCGAGGTCACAAAACTGAGGATTGCATTGCCCTAAGGCAGAGGTCATAAACATGCTTCACCAAAGGACACCTCAAAGAATTGTTGAGCGACCAAGGGAGGACCAACTTTGCCCGAGGACGTGAACAGCACCATGGATCGCCAAAACTACCCTAACCGACTCGCACCATTCAAATGATTATCGGGGGCGGCGACGATGCTTCCATCAACAGCGTAAAGTTCACTACAACTCCACAAGATCAAACGGTCGATCACTCACGAACGGTATGATGAACTCGAAAAATGTATCATCTTAGATAAGTTAGATACCCATGGTTTGGTTTTCCCTCACTATGATGCCCTTATTATTAGATACATATTCCCTCACGAATATTAGATACAGATGTAAGACGTATTATGGTGGACGATGGGAGCGGTGCGTGCATTATCCACGCTCGAGTACTTACACAAATGAAACTCGAG